CTCTTAGATGGTCAACTGTTGTGGTCAGAAAATAGGGTTCTGATCAAGTGATAGAAAAATGTTTTTTTTCTGGTTTTATATATAAAATATTTTACAGAAACTCAAAATCCATCTAGATGGTTTGATAAGTAAGTATTAGCATTTTCTCAAGTACTCAGAAAAGAACATCAGGAAAGACACTTTGAATAGTAATGTTAACTAAAAAAATAATTTGGAACCATAAATGAATTTTAAAGGAAAACTGAAGCCTATAAATAGTCTTGAGCATCTGTGCAAAGATTAACAAAGAATGTTCCAGGCAGGCTGGAAGCCACTCGTTCACACCACTGAGTAGAATGAGTAAAAACCACAACACACAAAACAAACAAACAAAAATCCATCCCAACTGACTTGTGAAAAAGGTGAGACTGCATTAAAGGGCTTGCTCAGTTACTGATTTCAAAACCTATTTTATTTGGATATTCCAATGCCTACAACTGCATCTAAGAACTCAGTCTTAATTAGGATTTTCTTCAAATCGGTGTCATTACCTGGGATATTGTTGGTAGGGAGAGACAAGTTTGGCTCCGATTGTTAGATCACCTATACTTTCTGCAGAAGGATTTGGAAGAAACTGGGGAAGACATGAAGTTTGTAGCTATGTCTGAAACCGCTCTCTGGTTGCCAGCTCCATATCCATGCTGGATATCGAGTGTTTATTAGCAGCTGCTTTTTTTTTAAGGATGCTCCTTTTCTGTGGTTTTCTACACAAAATTCACTTTCAGAAATTGTTTCCTGCTGGGCTTTTCTCGGCTACAGCTCTCCAAACTCTGCTGGGCCATGTCTGTACTGGGCTCTTCCATGGATTCAGCGACTTGATGAAGAGCAGCAGATGATTAGGAGTGGTCTTACGTGATTTCTAACTTTATGACACCACGAATAACCATTACTCGCAGTGCGTGCATCGCAAAAGACTGGTTGCTGTATAAATTTTGTGCTTTTGTCTAAGAGCTCCTGGCCCCAGCAGCCACTAGAGATAGCATCCAGCAGTGTGAGACAGAGGCAGTTTGGCTTGAGCATGGCCCTGCTCTTGCTAGGTTAGTTTTAAAGACAGGTAGATACAACCATAAGGTATCTGCAAGACATGGGCTGCTCTTATATGGGCAAACTCCATTTACCTGCATTCACTGTCAATTACAGTGCATATGGATTTCTATCCACACTTGGCTTTACTATCCCAAGGACTGTAAACTAATGTAGACAATCCTTCCAAAATCAGATAAGCTAAAACTATGATTTTGAGGATTTTTAAAACATTTTCTTGTTTTTTTTTACCCTTTAGAGACATAGAAGCGGCTGTTCCATAACCAAGTGTTCAATGTCTTGCTTCTGATAATAACCAAGTGTTACTACTAGGCAGACCCAGCTATGCAGGGCTGCAGTGTAGGCTTGGTCACAGCTGGGGCAGCATGAGGCTACTTTGGCTCTTTGGTGGGAGTTCCACAAATGCTGCTGTCCTCAGCCTGGAGGACCCAGATAACACAGAGACAGGTTTGGCTGAGCACTGCTGTAATCTGCCCAAGGCAGATCTAACAGTACTAAAATTAGCAAATGTATAACAGGGCACAAGCTTCTTTCAGAGCTGTCCATCTGCACCCAAGTGCTGCTGATTAAGTCCCACAGTCCCATGAAGATTCTTCCAAGAGCAGGTGTTACCAGCATGTATATCCCACCTGATTCTCCATTCCTGAAGGTTTCTTTGTCCTTTTTTTTTTATAAGGAGTCCTGAGGAAGCAGCACTTTGGTTTGGCCATCCACAAGAAGGGAGGTGGAAGTGCAAGACGACAAAGAGGAACCGGCTGTGACAAAAGGTGTTACCAACATCTCAACATCTTAATGGGGAAAAGAAGCAAACAAGGAAAAAAAAAAAACCTTCAAAAAACCAAACATACAAACAAACAAAAATTAAAAAAAAAAAAGAAAGCAAACAAAAACATACACACAAAAACCCCACAAACAAACAAAAAAAAGCCCACAAGAAAAACCCCCAAAACCAAACATACCCACGATGACAAAGCTAAAGTACTCAAAATGAATATTTTTCACAAACAAGTAAATTCTAATAAGCAATTAAGATGGCTATCTGTATTAAGGGAATAGGTTACTCTGAAAGATCATAGTGGAAGAATGATTTACAGAAACATCCAGACTTAAAAAAAACATGTATTCCAGCTGTCAAGGGCTACTGCAATTCCCCTTAGAGTGTTCAAAGAATTAGCTGAACTAAATCTCTGAACCATTAGTGATTGCATTCCAGGAAGCGAAGACGACAGCAGAGTCTTAAAGGAGTGAAAAAGGACACAGTATCTTAAGAAGAGGGCAGAGAGATGCTCTGGGGACTAGCCTTTCCAGAAGCCAGGACATGCAAGGTATTACTGAGTATCCAGTCATTAGTACCAAACGTAATGAAATGATAAGGACCTGCCGCCAGGGATTTAATGAAAACAAGGATGTCAAACCAATCTGAATTCTTGGAGAAGGCAAGTAGCCTGATGAAGAAGGGGAAACCCATGTGCGCAATCCTAGCTTGAGATCAGTAAGGCTTTCAATGCTTTTCCCCCCTTCTGCCATCTCATAAGCAAACTGAGGAATTATGTTCTAACCACCACTGACTCATGAGCACTGGTACTGAGCATCTGGGAAGGGAAGTGCTAATATTCCTGCCATTCCTGTAGCACATTTGCATCCCACCAGTGTCATTACATTGAGAGCATCTTCTGCTTTCTTACCTGCATAAGCTCACTTCTTATGTCCTTGCCATAATAGGCAAAGCTGGAAACTTCAGTACAGACCTTTAAAGATCAGCACCCATGAGGCCGCTGAAGACCATAAATGTACTCAGAAGAGCTATATGAAGGTGGAGATGGTCCAGAACAAAAGGCTGGACCTCCCTTGCACTGAATTTTGAATAATTTTTTTCTTATAGATTTTTATAGACTCTCCATACCTTACTAGCTTGAGCCAAACACCATCTAGGTTAGATGTGACCTCTAGCAGTGAAGTGCATTTGTGATCCAAATCTGATTTCTGTGCCCAGCATCAGAGGAGGAGCAAGTCTCCTTCCCCTTCCACAGATTATTGCAGTGCTTTCTACAACATACAGATAAATAATTCTAACCTTGAGCTAAATTCCAGCTACGAATATGTGCTTTGCCTACCCCCAGCTTTCTGGGAGAAAAGTATCATGTCTTGGAGTAGTGCAATGTTTTCTGATCCTCTCTACTAGATTCCCCTCTGAATTGGGAGGCATGAGAAAGCAGCTTGGCAGAGCCTGCTTGGTGAGTTTTGACACCTAAATTGAATGTCCAGGCCCCAGATTCCTTGGTTTTGATTAAAAAGTCAGTAGGATTGCCTCTTGGTAACTTGTGGGCTGTAAAACTGGATGTGTGCTCCTCCAGATAAGGGCTTTTTTGTGTGACATTGTGTAACGGCTGCCACAGGGTTGATGTGGGCCAGGCCATAAATAACTTCTGCATAAATATTTTTAGCAAATACTTTTCACTCTTGAGATACACTGGACAGCTTGAAGTGTATGCATCTGCATGTGAAGTAGGTGGGGGAAGCTAGAAGAGCTCCCATCCTGAGCACAGAGTAAATATCACAGCACTCTTGAGATGCACATTAACACAATAGGAGCCGACGCCTCTATGCAGGAGCATCCAGGGCAAGCAAAACATCTCAAAAGAGCTGCCTTATTGAGATGGCAGTGTGTGTCATCCTGTGGCAGAGATGTGAATGAACCCAGTGCCCATGAGAGGTGAATGCCATCTCTCTGTACTCCAAGCAGGACAATCCACAGCCAAGCCGAATGCTGCCATACTACCTAAAGGGCCCCTACCAGCCATCTACTGATCTTCCTGGCATGTGCTTGATGCAGAGAGAAGTGCAAACTGCTGGTTGCATTTCCTATGAGGATAACCTGCCTTTTAGGCTGCACCTGAAGGGCACTGTGACTCCATCTACAGAAAACACCACTAGTCTCTGTAGATGATTGTCCAGCCTTGGAAACACAGCAAGAGTTAACAGGGATGCACAGTTGCTAGAAGGTTCCAACTAAAAGGGAAAAAAAGCCACAGAACCTTCACCCTCGTATATGAGGTCATCTATTGGAAGCCCAAGCATCTCTGAAAATACAGATCGGGACAAAATAGCCTACTCACATTGCTTACCTCCACCTTGCCCTCCTACACACACGCTCTCTACAGGCACTCCAGAAAGGTGTGATCCACTCCCGGTTTGTGAATCAGAGAGCTACAGCTGATTCCACACTGGGAAAGGTACAAACTGGTTATGGATGTCACATATTTATCATTACTGATTATCCAACTACTTCTACACAGAGCAAGTCATGAAAACAGTTTCAGGCATTTGTAAGATTCTGTGTTCATCTCTTCAAAACCAAATGGGCCAGCAGAGAAGCAGTGAACACTCAGGGAAAAAGAAAAAAAAAATAAAAGGAAAAAATATATAGCGTGGTTTGAAAAAGACTGAGATTGTTCAGAATAGCCTGCGCATTGCAACAGCTGGTCTAGGGGAGCTTCATATAAAAAGCCAACTTCACAAAAACATGGAAAGGGAGAACAAACATTAGAGACTACTGAGCTCACTAGTCAAAACATCCATTTGGCACATAACAGGACATGAAGATACACAGGAGAGAGCAGTCTCGTCTAGCCAGCTTTGCAAGTACTGGGAATCTGGATCCCAAAACCTAAAGGAGCTAATTTTGAACAGAGCAGAGAAGCAGCAACACATTTCCTTACAGTTTTTCCATAGAGACAATGCAAACCCTATATTTCAACTAAGCAGACTAAGCCTAATAGCAGCAAAATTTGGCTCTCTGCTCTGTAATGAAATCTCTATGTAACCAGAGGCAATTATCTAGAGTAAGGCATCTGGAAGCACTCAGATGCCCACTTCTCATTCTATTTCTTGAAGGAAGACAATAAGTCATACTTTACCATAGCAACCCACAGGAAAACTGATTTCTGGTGGCCTTCAACTTCTACTTCCAAAGCAAACATATGGTGATACCCTTCAAACAACCCTGCATCTCAATAATTTCTTTGAAGGCTTGCTTGCCTAGCTATATACCTCAGACACAGCTGATGTAATTATAAGCATTGCCTGATTAGTGACCCTTAAGGCAATTGCTTGAGGCAACAAAGGAGTTGCTTCAGGTGGGACTTACTGCAAGGTTTCTACCTACCTCCTGTTCACAATGCTACTCAATTATTTGGTGCTTTCTAACTTTCAGAAGTGAAGGAAAATTTTAGTGTAACTATTCTAGTATTAATCCTGTCTCTTCTGCTTTTGCAACCAGGGATGAGAGGTAGGAAGAGTTTCTGACTACCCCTAGTTAGGGGGAGGGAGGTTACAGTACCTGGTATTTAAAAAGAAAGGCCGAACACCAACCTGAGAGGAGAGAAATGAATATCAAGCAATGCAGTAGTTGCTCCAGTTGAGTGATAAAGGTGGCAGCAGCTAATGGTGAATGCTTCTAAGGTGTCAGCCAGGGAGCTGTGAATTCTCAACAATAGTCCTTGCTTTTGGACAAGTTTCTCTCTTATGTTAGTGTTTCTTAAAAGCATTGGCTAAAAAGAGAAAAAAAGGGTCTTTAGCCTGTGAAATGAGTGGCCACAGTTTCACTTTGTAGTACTATAATGGAGAGCTTCTATTTGCCTGCCAAGTACTGTATTCATCATGCCCTCAAGAAAAGTTAACTCTGTCATAAAATTCAATTGAAAATGCCAGGATGAATACTTTTTTTTATTGTAATCATGTCATCTATTTTCTCTGCCACATTTTTCCTTGTTCCATCTCCTTTCATAACATCACCTACTAGAGACTAAATATAAACTACCCACCAAACTGAAACAGTTGGTGACAAGAAGTGACACCCTGCAGGCTGCTCGGATCTAGATGCTCCAGCATTAATCTGGTAACTGGCAGGTGGGCATTTGTACACAGATTTGGACCATGCTTGTTGATGAAGCCACTGCTCAAAAGCATCTGTTGTGTTGACCCCTTCACTGTATGCAGGGCCAAACTGGGGAGACTTAGTATACCTTCAGGAGGTTTGCTGTCATGCTATGTATGGCATCCAGGATGATACAAAATAAGCATAGAGCCTCATTAGAGCAAAAGGTGTCTTCTGATATCTGTGTAGCACCTGGCACACACTTCCTTACCTGTGAAGATGGAAAGGAAGAATATGCTGGAAGTAGAGTTGTCCAGATACTGTCATGGCAGAGGGGTATAAGGACAGGAGGTAAGCTGCTGTATTTTTCAGTGACAGAAAGCAAGCAAGCAAGCAAGCAGGTAGGCTGGAGTACAGCTGGATGGTGAGCTCCAATCACCTGCTAAGTCTGTCTCCCGGTAATAAACAGGTGTGCAGAGCAGCTGGAAATACCTGGTTGCTGCTTGTGTGCATGACAATACACAGATACAGGCCAGCAAGAAAGAGGTGTATTTAAATTAGAAATTAGGATAGGAAGCTAAATCATCTTGATCTAGTTTACCTTGGGTCATTCATGTAAGAGGAATTGCAAGCAGTTGAGCCACACTGGGCAAAGCATTAAGTTTGAAGTAAGCTCTGGGCATCTTCCCAATGACATTTGTGTGTAAGAGTGAGAGGGAGCATGGGGGAGAGGTCTGGCTTACTGATAAGAGCAAAGCAAAACAGAAGTGCAAGGTGTCCCCAGGGAAAAGGTAATTTAGCCTAGTTACTTGGGTCTATTTCTATACATCCAAAAAAAAAGCTATAATAAATACTTAAAATTACGGTGATATGAATGGATTCTGCTGACATTATTGGCATTTATTAAACTATATCCTTAAGGACCTCAAGGGGGAAGGAAGCATGAAGTCAAGCAAGCAGAAAGGTAGCACCCAGTATTAATAGAGCAGCCCTATATGAGCTCTGATGGTTATTTGAGGAGCTGGGTGGTAACTAGATGTTAATATAACCCAGATGTCTTCATTTTTCCCTATTCAGGTCCAGCTTTGTGCCCAAATGATAGGCAAAAGCATTTACAGTTCTTTGGGTGAACTAGAACTCTGGCAGGATTGTGCTGGTGGAGTGGATGAAACCATTCAAAACAGATGTGGATATGAGGGGACAATAGGCAAATATTTGGTTTTGTGAGGTTTGGGATTTTCAGTTTTTGTTTTATGTGTGCCAGTCTGAAGGGTATAATGACTGAGTCTGAAATACTGTCTGACTCCATCAGGATGTTATATGCAGGTAAATGAACATGTGCCAGTGAGGCTGACACTGAATGGGAGCAAGCAGCTGCTCTCTTGCGCACCGCGAGTAGAGCAGATGCTTTCAAGGCAAAGATGTGAAACAAAATAATAGATGTTACTCTTGCCTGCCTCCAGAAAGGGGCATGCAATTAAAAAGGAAGCATGAATGGAGCAGAAATTTCTTTAACTGGCAACAGTGTGCATCAAAAGAGCATGAGAAAAGCAGAAGGCGGGGATTACTGTCTTCAGAGACATCTCCATTTGTGTTGGCAACATATAGGAGGAAAGAGGTAGTAAGGCATTATCCACAGCCAAGTTCTGGGTCCTGATACACAAACATGAGTGAGATTTGAGTTGCTGATGCGATCTGATATGCAAACATGTTGATTTTTTCCAGCTAGCTGTAAGAATACAGTTGGAGGCTTTTCAATTGCTAGAGGGCTGGTTGTGAAGCTCATGGTATCACTGACCTAATTCTTTAATAAATCTTAGAGGACTGGGAAACTGTAAATACTGAAAACTGAGAGTGCTGGGCTAATATGCAGAAACAGGCAAGCTTGATAACCAATTCAGATCTGATGGTGTGTTTAAAATGAAAGCTGCTTTTCAAAGGAAAACACTGTTTTCATTTAAGTTTAAATGTTTTAGAAGGGATTAGTCTTAACAAAGCATGCTGTAAGCAAAACAGAAGTGAAATACCAACATGTTTTTAACACTCTTGGCATAGCACATTTTTAGCTTTGTTTAAAAAAATTTTCAAAACATGTTTGAGTAAGTTATAGAAAATAGAAGCTAAAATGAGAATCAAACATTTTTCATTTGCTGTGGATATAGATTGCCAAGAAAATTTCATGGAAAATTCTGATGTCATCTTGTGCTCTTTGTGTTCTGTTTGATGAGAAGAGAGGAGAAAAAAACAAACAAAAAACCAAAACAAAATAGTGTGATTTCTTTTGAATGGGAAACTAAGGTTCTTTCTGCATCTGTATGTGTTACTGCAGGCTCATTTTCAGATGGGTCAATATGGAATTGCCTACATGTAGAACTTCAAAGTGCCAGTATAATTAATCGGTAGCCAGTCAACTTGATAGCTTGATGGGAGCAGATATTCCCAAATGACATTTTTCCATCAATAATAACTCTGGGTATTTAGATGTAGTAGAGTTTTGTAAGCACTCCATTGTGCACATCAGCAGCAAAGTTTTGGTTCTTCATTCATTAACCTGTAGATCTCAAAAGATGAGAACATGTCATTGAACATGTTTCTAGTGGGAGTCAGTGTCTTCATGGCTGATCTAGAGATAAATAAAACATCATTAGCTAACAACCGTGGCAGATGGCACAAAGATTGTCTGTTATCGCTATTTCCCGCTTCACCAAGCGTGCAACGTGATCTGGATTGCCTGATGAACTGGCCCCAAGCAGATACACTGCAGTGTAACAATATATTCGTCTCTAAGATTATGCCAGCAGAGTGCTGGGAGGCACCACAGCCATAGCACCTCCTTGGAAACGTGTTGGAATGGATGAGCAATGAAGTCTGGTTTCCCACTGAGGTGTGGTGGCATAAAGGAAAAAGTCAGTGGGAAGCAGTCAATAACCATGGGTCAGGGACTTCCCCTCCTTGTGCAGCCCAGGCAACAGGAGACATCTCTGGCACCCGTGGTCTGAAAATGACAGCAAAGGAAAAGAACCTTTTGGAAAACTTGAGAACAATCCTATCACAGGCAATGAATTGCCACATTAAAATACGTGAGAAGACTCTTTCCTGTAGCAGAGAAAGGTAGAACAAGAGCTCTGTTCGGAAGCAAAAGCCAGGCAAAAAAACAATCAGGCATGATATTAAGGATGAGGCTGATTATTCACTTGAACAAATAGTGATGAGTGGGAAACCACTTTGATGTTTCCAAGCCAAATAACTTTGTGGCAGATATGTTTTAGTAAGGTAAAAATCATTAGCCTAATTACAGGCAGATCAGTGTAAATGTTGTGTTGCCTGATGTCTGGCCATTACCGTGTCTGCTATTATGAAGAATTAAAGTCATATTACTCTAGAAACCATTCTGCAACATTTATATATCTCATTAACACCTTTGCAAAAGGGGCCTAAGTGATGCAGTTATTATGTTGTTTTAAAGCTGCAGCGTCTCCCTGGACTGATCAGTAACGGTATATAACATGAACAAGAATCCAGCCTTGCCTCTTTCACATGGATTTGAGTAGGCAGCTATGGGATCATTCACTGATGTTTCTCCTTACTCCTGCCGCAGTGGGTTAGCTCATGCATTTCCAGAACAGCAACACATTTTACTAGATGCCAGCTGAAGCCAAGTGGTGGTGAGCAGGCTTACGTCCCCCAGGCTGCAGCTCTGTGCTGTAGGTGTACCCTCTTGCGTACCCTTGCCTGTTTGACGTGGGTATCTGGGTAATACTCTTACACTGAGTCTGTCACGCTGGGCAGACACTATCCTAACTGGGCAGACACTATCCTAGCGGTGTTGCCTCCCTTCACAGGTATTATGCTGAATTGATCATGGGAGAAATAAATAAATAAATAAATAGATGTGGATCTAGGATTAAAGGTCTGAAACATTTTTCCCTATTTCTGGAATCTGTTGGTTTCTTCACAATCTTGTCATTATTTGGGAAAATGTATGTTATAAATACTCTTCAATCAGATGCTCTAAAATCAGCATCTAGTGTAATAGGGGAAAATAAAGATCTTGTTGATGTTAGGAAGAAAATTTTATTAAGTTCTTGCAGGTTAGTGATTCGTCCAACATTTAAGATGTGAGGAGCAGCCCATTATTAGCATGTCCAGTGGAACTTCCTAGGGAGACACCTCCTGGGTACCAGAGCTTTGCAGTCACTGAGGCAAAGAGAGGTCGATGTTGAGATGGACTAACTTGCCTGTGTTCCCTAACTGTTCAGTGTCTTCATTACACCACCAGCCTTTCACGGATTAAAACCATCTAGGTGACAGTGGAAATATTGCACAAATTGCTGTGCACATTATGACCTGCTTGTCTTGTACATGCCTTAAGCAGAATATACAAAGTTGCATGGGTATTTAGGGTATATTAGGGTAGAGTAGAATTTCTCCATATATACTATCTCTGCTCCCCTCTGAACAGTTCTCTAGAGAGGTATGGGTGGGGTGAAGGGGATTATAATATTGTTCTGACTGTTAACTTTGGAGATGATTGCATTTTTATTTATACAACTGACAAATACATGTATACCAGAGAAGAAAGCAGTAACTACAGTCCATCTCCACCAGCTAGTGTCAGATGAGACATGAACAAGTTGTAACTGATTTTCAGAGAACAGAATTCAAGTCTCTGAAGAGTTTGTTCTGGTCTTAAAGCAGGAGCTCATGCTGGCATTCGTAGATATTTCTAAGCAACATGCTTAGGATGAGAGACAAATAAAACGGAAGGTTTCTCATGTTTGGTCTGTGTGTTCTTGCTGCAACATCCCACCCAGTATGGTGTGCCTTTGGGCTCTGGGACATTGGCCTCAGGGGGCAAAGTCTCTGCACACACTGAAATCCACCATGTCTCAGTATTTGTTACAAGAGCAACCAAAGCTCTGGGTCCATCTGGTGTCTAGGAAAGGGGTAGTAAAATTGTACTAGCTATATTGAAGCAACAGGAGAAGCAAAGGTCCTTGCCAGTTTACATTTGCTCTTTCATGAAGAGATGACAGTTTGTGCCAAAAGGCTGGATTTGCGCATTCTGTATATCTGTTAGAAGCTCCAGCTGTTGCTTCCTGCATCTTTGGTTTGCTGTAGTTGACTGAGACAACAACACAGTCAAAGAAGGGCAAAGTCTGTAAATAAAAGCTGTTTAAATGCCAACAAATAACACATATGCTGACTCTGGAGGATGGCTGATTGCAAAGTATTTGTATTTTGTAGCTTGTGTTTTCAGCTCTACCAGAATGAGTATCGTGCCATGTCTAGTTGTAAGCAACAGGAACCATTTAACCGTTTAATGGTATTTATATTACTTCTCACAAAGCGTTCTACAATTCATCAGTTTACTTCCCAAATATCTCATTTCTGCTTCTCTTTGATCACTGAGACTGGCCACATACGGGCAAAATTTTCCTGAGCAATTTACAATCTGTCTGCTTGCGATTATGGAGAAATTCACTCCTGGAGAGTTCTCTGGAGTATAAATTTCTAATTCCTATGACATGGGGGGGGGGGGGTGGGGGTGGGGGGTGTTTACCCTTGTTTTATCTATATCAACCCAACAGTAGTGGTTTTGGTTCCTGTTTTCTTGGTCTGTTGCAGCATAGGAGAGCCATCAGCTGTACTTGATCTGAGAAGGTTCAAGAAAGTCTGGGCAATCCTAGGGAAGAGGGGCTGTTGTGGGAAGGAAAGCAATGTGTGAGTTATAACTGGGCTTCAGCAATATTAAAATGAGCAAGATGTCCAGCAGATTCACTTGGGCTGCACCTAAGGACATCAGATAAGGGTGTGTCCTGGAGGCCACAGACCTTGTACCCCAGGGCTCAGTTCATATTTCCAAGGCAGAAGTAAAATAATTACTTGCCAGCCTGAGAGGCAACAACTAGACTGAACAGAGTGGTGAAGGAGACCCTTTTTTTTGTCTCAGGAAAACAAATGCAGTGTACTGCCCTGTTTGGCATGTCTGAGCATCAATAAAGGCAAGTGGCTGACTCCCAGGATTAGCTCCCTTCCTTGGTGGGGAGAGAAGTCATTGTACAAAGCAGAATGAAGCAATGAAGTTTTCATTGCGGGTGAAGAGTGGCAAACACTGCAGACAGCCATCTCAATGGGCTGATGAAACAGCAGCCCCAGGGAGACTCTTCAAAGACTCTTTCTGGTTTTTAATGAAGTGTAGTTGAGTTTTGACCCCCTCAGCTTCAGCCCCTCAGGTTTTCTGTGAGCATTTGAGGTCTTGTTCCTATCCCTGAGCTCACTGACTACTTGGAGAATTTTTAAAATCCTATTTCCCTAGGTTTGTAATGGTTTTCTTTCTTGCTGCTTGAAAGGTCATGCAACTGACAGAACAAATTCATCATATGGTGAAGCTGGGAGAGGGACCGAGCCCAGGAGCCCACTGCAAGCACTGGGAACAGGAGGGGACCTCGGCCAGCTTGGGCAAACCACCTCCCCAGGCACTGCCTGATGAATATGGTTCCAACATTTACCAGTTCTGATGGTACTTGTAACAACAACAAGTTAAAGAAATCAGTTTTATTTAGAGAGAAGGGACTTGTCTTTAAACTTTTGACTAAGTTGTTTTAAACAACAGCGGATAACACACCATACTGCACAGTGCACTCCTGCCTTCATTAGCACAGTTTTATCCTTTGCAAAATGCAGGCTTGCACTCCCTTCTCCAGAGGTTACTTCCAGGAGCACAGCTTCTTTCACCTCCTCCTTTCTGACCCCTGATCTGGAGACCTGCCCTCCCACAGCTGACCCCAGCAGCAGTCCTGAGGCAAACACAACCACAGCTGGGAAAAGCAGTGCCAGAGAAACACATTTTCAGCTCCACTTTACAATTTAAATAAAGGAGAGGGACCTAGGCAGGCAGCCCGCAGCCACTGCTCTGTGTGGCTGCAGGTCCCTGGCTCAGATCACCAGCACTGGTGATATTGCTGCAGTCCTCATGCTGACATTGGTGGTGAAAAACACCATGTCATAAAATAATCTTAGCTGAGGCTGCAGTGAGTTCTTTTTGCTGCCCAGAACCTGCTGTGCCATCAGCCACTTGGCTAAAGTACATAGAAGTCATTGTTGTTTGACAGGTCACTGTAATGGCATAGGGCAAGACCAGGAGCCTGTGCTGATGGGGGGTCAGGTCGACTTCTGCCCTGAACCCCCTGTGCTGTGGGTCTGCCTGAACCCGACTTGCAGAGTTGAGTGTCCCACCTGTGCTCAGCCACAGCCCGATGCTTGCGCTTGAGTCTGCTGCCACCATTGCAATAGGTCCCACAACACCGGCACATCAAGAAGTGCTTGGCTCCATGTCTGGCCTTTGACTTGGGGGCTGTGGCTGTCCCTCCGGGAGCAAGAGTCACTGCTGTGGCACCCCGTGGGTTAGGCTGCCCTTTCAACCGGCTCCTTTTCCTCTGTATGGGGTCCAGGCTGATGTCCGACTGGGAGGAGCAGCTCTCATTCCAGCCGGTGCCGGCATTCAAGCTGCGCAGAGGCAGGGCAAGCCGTAATGCCTTCCAGAACTGGGAGCCAGATCGCTTGGACTTCTCTCCCTTCCAGGTGACAAAGGAGACGGACTCCTTCAGCTGGAGGATACTGGGGTGGGTGCACTGCAGTGGCCTGTATTCCACCACGATAAGCTTGGTGGCGATGGCATTCTGGCACATGATGCCCAGCTTGAACTCCAAAAGGCTGATGCTCTTCTCTGTCAAGTAATCGGGACTCAGGACCACGATCATCCTTCGGCTCCTCTGGATGAAGTCAAACACAGCTTCAGTGGTATCTAAAAGTGCAAGGGCAGAGGAATTGGGGTGCACAAGGGGGAAGGAGCAGGGAGAGAAAAGCTGAAGGAAAGTTTTTGTGGCATGCTTGCACAGATTCCCCCCTTCCCACAGAGGGGAAACCTGGCACAAGTCCAGTGACTTTCAACTCGTCCATGATCCTGCTGTCAGGAGCAATAAGCAGCATTTTTGCTTTGCAATGTGTTTTTGAGAAGGCTGCAGTGGTAAATAAGAAGCAAGGATGGTAGAATATGCCAAGACATACTCTTGACTTCTGCCGTGCACAGCATCACTCCTGACCAGGGAAGTGCAGGCATTTGATAAAGGGCAGGTCTTGTTCGGGAACCACCCGCCCACAGCTCTAGCAGCCCTTTGCATGGGGGGAAGCAAGTGAAGCAATCTAGTCATCATGCCAGTTTGCACTGCTGAGTCCCACCACTCTCCCTCTCGTGCTCTCTCATCTAGAAATGGAAGCCTCCAAGCTTACAAAGCAAAAGTCAGCTGTAAGTCTCTCCACCAGTTCCCCTAGCCATCATGGGGGGTGAAAATACCATCCTTCAAAAGCATGTCTTGGGATTAATTGCAGTTTGTAAAGCTCAGCAAGATGCTTAGTTGAAATGGTGCCAGGCAAGGGCAGCATCTCTTTTATTATGAATGTTGAAAAGCAGAAAACCTGAAGGATGACCTTGGACTTCTATCTATGGCTTGAGCTGCAGTGAGCATATTGAAGATGTTACAGCTAATGGATGAACACTGGAAAGGATGTGAATTAATAGGGTTGTGGGGCTCAGCAAATTAACTCAAGCTAATTAACAGAACTGTAAGAGCTTAAAAAACGCACCTACTTACTGAATGCTGGTGCCTACTAAGATGGAGGGGACCTGAGGACAAGGTGGTTCAAGCAAGACAGGGATCATCAGAATAAGAGCTCTTGCACACTCAGAGAGAAAAACCTCTCTGTAGAATGTCTTGCAAAAAGCTGTCCTGGGGAGAAGGGCTACCTGCTGCTTCCATTGCCTTTCACACTAAAAGCTAAAGCCTTGATTCCTCAATCTGGAGACTCATTTCCTTCCCTGCCAATGAAACACTGCTCTTTTGTATCAGTGAAAAATACTGCTCCCTTTCTACAATGGCAACGCCTCTTATTATTCCAGCACTTGACTGCCTTTTTCCTCATCTCACAGCAGAATGTGCACTGTGTTGCGGCTAGATGCATCTTATTTTAATATTATAAAGAGCAATATATTTTTTTTTTAAAAGGCATGTGACTAGCTGTAAAACTCACTGTCACTAGATTATTTGGGGATCAAGAACTTGGGATAGGAAAAATGACTGTACAGTAATATCCCCGGAGATGGATGGTGAGTGGCAGTGGAATAGAGCAAGTAAGGCACTGTTTGGCTCTTTAACATAATACTGGAAATTAAATCAAACTATTTGGAGCATTTTATCTTGTACACAAGACTTGGGCATATTTCCCCCACCACACGCATGAAAACACTGATTCATTGAAGCCAAAAGTAGAAGATAAAGTCAGTTCTGTCAGAATTGTCACTTAACATCGTGAATCATTCTTACCACTCTGCTTCAAAGGCACAAAGAATTGGCAGCAATCTCCTAATCTACTGAGTCCAGACCTCATTCAAAACTTTCTATAACTGGCTGAGATCTATTTTGAAATCAGCCAAGCTTCAACATTTTTTGAAAGAAAAAGGTTTTTCCTGGTTTGAAAGGTTCCTTTTTGAAACTGGAATCACAGAAATCACAGTGCAACGTAGTCAGGAGCAGCCCCTGGGAAGTCACCTATTGTACCTGCCTGCACAAAAAGCACAAGTTCAATTAATGCAAATGATCCCAACACTGCTGAAATGAAATGTTTTGATTGAGCTGACAGTGACAGTTTTCTTTCATCAATTTTAAATTTGCAACACTTTCTGAGATTTGACATTTTTTTGGCAGGGAAAACGCTCAAGTTCCCAAAGATAGATTTTATGTCTGAGAATGAGATGCATTTAGACTTGGCTGGCCAGAATAGCTTGAGATGTTCAGTTTTCAATGTAATTCCAGCTCATGTAAAATCCTGAGTGGCCACTTCACAGTGTGCAGGGAGGATGGTCCCTCCCAGTGACACCAACAGCACAAGATGGAACAGGTGGGGATTTGGGTACCAACAGAGCTTGGAATCTGATACTCTTGGGTATCTGCTTTATCCTGAAAAACTCCCATGTTTACTACATGGTTACAAAATCAGTGCATATTTTTGTCTGTTTATTTGTGTCTCGCCTAGTGCACCCCAGAGATCTAACACAAGATTGTAAGAGCTATACTTCTGTCCCAGCCCAATAAAAGCTAGGGACTCACAGGCCCCATATTCATACCCTGTAGACCCCAGATCCATAGATTGCCTCAAGTATTCATTTTGTTAGTGGTCTAGAAGTGTTAGGCTCTCTCCCAATGTACCTGCTAGCACATAAACAAGGAAAAATCTCAGAAAGTGGCTTTGATGAGAAAATACAAAGCTGAATGAACCTTTTCTACCCAACTGCCTGAAAGGTGGTGGGCAAAGCGATTGAAGAGCGAGTTTGATTTCTGTGGTTAGGGCAGTTTTCCAAGATTTCTGGTCAAAGTTTCTGGCTTGGTTTCCCAAGCAAAGGGATGGTGTTTCCTTCCCATCTTTCTATCTTGTGATTGCCACGGGAGCACTCTATGGGTCAGTGGCTTTTTGTGTGTGCATGTCCACTGTTGGGTGACAGTTGAATAATGTGTGTCATTGTGTTTCCACTTGTATGGCCTTGGTAGAAGTGGCGGTGCCTCAGGATATCTGCAGGCACACTATGAAACAGACAAGAAAATGCCCCATCACTAAGGAGGTGTCCCCAAATGATCCTGATGCTTGGACTACAGAGTCATCTTTCTTTAATGGCCTTTTGCAAACATAATGGGGAGGAAAATTATGAGAAATGCACAAGGAATGAAATGCAAAAGTGGAAATGTTTTATTGAAAAACAAAATAAAATATAAAAATAATAATAATAAAAAATTATGTATATTATATAAAATTATTATAAAGCAAAATAAAATAATAACAGTAAAGAGTGGTGTCCCTCAGGGATCGGTGATGGGACAGGTCTTGTTTAACATTTTTGTCGCTGACATGGACAGTGGGATTGAGTGCGCCCTCAGCAGGTTTGCTGATGACACCAAGCTGTGTGGTTTGGTTGATATGCTGGAGGGAAGGAATGCCATCCAGAGGGACCTTGACACGCTTGTGAGGTGGGCTGATGCCAACCTCATGAAGTTTAACTATGCCAAGTGCAAGGTCCTACACCTGGGTAGGAGCAATCCCAGGCACAGCTACAGGTTGGGCAGAGAAGAGATTCAGAGCAGCCCTGCGGAGAAGGACTTGGGGGTGGTGGTTGATGAGAAAATGAACATGAGCCAGCAGTGCGCGCTTGCATTGCAGCCCAGAAAGCCAACTGTATCCTGGGCTGCATCAAAAGGAGTGTGACCAGCAGATAGAAGGAGGTGATCCTGCCCCTTTACTCTGCTCTCATGAGACCTCACCTGGAGTATTGTGTGCAGTTCTGGTGTCCTCAACATAAAAGGGACGTGGAACTGTTCGAACAAGTCCAGAGGAGGGCCATGAGGATGATCAGGGGACTGGAGCACCTCCCATATGAAGACAGGCTGAGAAAGTTGGGGCTGTTCAGCCTGGAGAAGAGAAGACTGCGTGGAGACCTCATAGCAGCCTTCCAG